TAATTACCATCACTGCAATTTAATGTAAAAAAAAAAAAAACAAGAACTTTTTTCTTTTTTTCCCCCTCCATTCTCTATTAAAACAATAGCCTCATAATAAACTATACTTAAAAAAAAAATTATTATATATATATATATATATATATATATATATATATATTTAAATGACCAACTTTATTAATTGAACTGATTAAAACGGCATCTTCATTTCTTGTCACATCATGGTCTGGTTAAAAAGCATTGTCATATGAGTCTAAAATTATCCCATGTTAAAAATAATCCCATTTTGTGAGATCAAAGGACTATTAAACAACAAAAAAATAACAACAAAAATATGAACATACTTATCAACATTTTGTAATGTAATATTGACTCTTTGGCCCTATTCAACGCTATCTGTAGCTTCTTGAATGTTTGAAATTTTATTTCTGAGTCAAGCAGTTTATTTATTCACTGAGTCACAACTGACAAGTCTTAATTTAAAATTTTATTCTAGGTAATTTTATTATATTTTAAAAAATTTTTACAAAGACGGTGTTCAAAAGTTTAAGGGCAGTAGGATTTTTTTTATGTTTTGAAAGTCTCTTAGGTTCACCATGGTTGCATTTATGCAATCAAAAATGTAGTTAAAAATAATTTTTACAATTCAAAATAAATTGTGTTTTTATATTTAAAACGTAGTTTACTCCCCTGATCAAAGCTGAATTTTCAGCATCATTGCTCCAGTCTTCAGTGTCAACGAACCTTTAGAAATCATTCTAATATGCTGTTTGCTGCTCAAGAAACTTGTATAATTATTCTTAATGCTGAAAAGTTGTGCTGCTTAATATTTTTGTGGAAACTGATATTTATTTTTTGAGGATTATTTGAATGAATAGAAAGTTTTTAAATAACAGCATTTATTTGAAATAAAAATATTTTGTAACATTGAATACGGTTGCTTTTTATTACGTTAATGCATCCTTGCTGAAGAACAGTATTCATTTTTTTCCAGAAAAAATATTACTGACCCCAAATTTTTCAACGATATTTGATGAATATAATATAATATAATTTAGTAGTCCTTTAAAGAAACGTTAAAACTGTTGTAGCAATATTTATTTCTGATTTATTGCCATGTATGCACTGCATATACAAACTACTCAAAGAATGTAAAAGTTCTTGTACTTTGTTTTAATACATGTTTATTTCAGTCCTATCAAATCTGTATCTTTCACTGTCTGGACAGCGACCATGATAAACATGCTTTCAGCTCATATTGGCAGCCCTTGTTTTATAGATTTGAAAAGAGGTAGAGTGTTCGGTTTTCTACACAGTCAATGTGTTTTAATAGTCTTTGGCTCATTACTTTCTTTCTGTCTTTCTAGTTTTCTATTAGCTCATGCCACAGACTAAACATTTTCAAACACAGTCAGTGGCTCTCAGACGAACGCATGGCACGCTCTCTCGGTTGCTGAAAAGCAAATTTCCAGCCTCTCTCCAGTGTGGTTTTCAGTGCACCATAAATACGAAGAATAAACAAGTGTTCCATTTGTGAGGGGAAAAAGATTTTTCGTTACATGACAGCGCTAACGTGAAATAAATCACCCAGATGTTGGAGGCTCCGTCTGATGTAGTTTGTTCCCCTTGAGCTTGCTGTGGAGAAAGCATTCAGTCATAGTTGCCGTGAGGGCAGGTGTAGTCGAAAGAGGCTCTGTACCGCCGGGGCGATCTGTGACGTCAGCGCCCGCCGTCTGAGCTGGGGAATTTGCAGTGGCACATTAATGCCTGTAGACAACAGTCCAGCCTTGATGATATTGACTTTTCCAATTCCTGCAATTCTGGCATGGGATTTGTAGAATACACTTTATTTTTAGGCACCTTTCAAATTGGTGCGTATGATTAGGAGAGAATTTTATATGACCATTATGACGTCTTAATCCTCTTGCAGGATTCAAGGTTTTTTAATGTAAGCATTTGTAGTAGGAAACCCATTTAATTGGATAATGCTGTGTTTTAGCATTGTCTGTACATCACACAATGAGCTGTTGTCCAAGGTTTGTTGTCATTTGTTTAAACATTGTAAGAGTTTAAACATTCCAGTCCCATTCCAGAGTCTTTTTTTTAATTGTGCGTGTGTTTTCTTAAACCAGACAGAAAAAGGTCTAATATGTAGTAAACCATTCACATTTTCAGCTACAATTTTAGGGGGAAAAAATTATATTTAAAAGGAAACAAAATATCTAGCATTTTACATGAATACGTTGGCAGGTCGCTAACATGTAGTTTACACCTGGATAATTTTGCTTTGACTTAATTTTACCTGCCATGTAGAAAATGGATTTAATATCTAATAAAATGCAGTTACAGGAAAATGCATACTGTATGATGATTTGACTCTTCTGAATATTTATTATTGAATATTTATGAAATATTCACACTCGCACATCTTATCCCACTCTCCCCATCAGTGTTGGGTAAGTTACTCAAAAAAAGTAATCCACTACAAATTACTAATTACTTCTTTAAAATTGTAGTTTGATTACATTACTGATTACTGCATTTAAAAAGTAATTGGATTACTAATTACTTTACTTTCAAGTTACTTTCAAGTTTACTTTATTTTTGAAGCTATCAAACCTAAAAAATACACTACAAAGTGAAACTCATAGTTCTTTCGTTAATTTAATATTGACTGAAAAATTACACAAGTATTATTTGTATACACTCGCAATAGCAACAAAACTTATTTTTTTGGTTTTGTAAAATAAAGGAAACAAATAGGATGCGCTTTCTGCATTCTCAGTCTCCGCGGATTTCTTCCTTAAACGAGTCACTAAAATGAACGAAAATGGCATGAGAAATATATCTAAAGAAAGCTTGAAGTGTCTATTTTTATTTTTAGTCATGTCGAAAACAAATATTCTCTGATAAAATAATCCATATGAAACCAATGCGAGTTACAGTCTTTCCCGTCTGAGCTCACCTATAATGTGATCACGCCCCCAACACCAGGCTTGAGACGCGCGAATATGTGAACGCTCACATCACCTCCATAAACAAAGAAAGAATCATCAAGTTCATCTCGACTACTTTTAGTTTTTGGAAGAAGACGTGCTGTGGGGAATAAGCCTTAAATTTACCTCAGAAGAAGAATGCGATGCGACGCGGCTTAATCCAGCGGAGAATCTCATTCTGATGTAGGGCTGCACGATTAATCGAATGCGATTTGTCATGCGCATTTTGTTAGTAAAGCCGGTTCTGTAATCAGCAGGAAATCATCATCACGTGCTTTCAGATAAAGCAGCATTTACTACACATAGCCGTAGTTCACTGACAAGTTACGCAAAAATAATCGCAGACAATTTTATTGCGCGATTCTGAAATCGAAGAAATCGTTGGCGGTAATGACAGCTGTTTGCATAGCTTCTCAGTGAACTACGGCTCTGTGAAGTAAATGCTGCTCCATCTGAAAGCATGTGAAAATACCACATTTAATATCACATTAAAACTCACTTCATAACGTCAGTCGAAAAAAAAGTGTTTGAAATAAATCCTTCTGTGAGATGCTGTGGCTTCTTACACAGAATAAGGCACACAACATATTTCATAGTATTTAAGCAGTGATAAAGGCATTGCATTATAAATATACTTTATTTTAATTAAACTTATAATAAGAAGAACTCCGATAAACCGTATATTTCCGTAGTCGTGTTTTTATTAGTCACGTTGAATTGATGAAAGCAGTTGAATCTTCTGTTTATTCAGCTGCAGCGATGATGAAATTCTTCTGCGAGGCGTACTTGGAGTTTCAGCGCGAGAGCGCCCTCTGGCCTTTGGATGGAGATTTACTGCTGATCACAGAACCGTGCTTCACTGAAAGATACGCATGACAATCGCAGCTTCTGTCTAATCGCAATCCCGATTCCATTTCGATTTATCGTGCAGCCCTATTCTGAGGAGTCACTTATTTTTACTTGGCCTATATTAGTGTTATTGTGACAAACTTGTACACATTCACTTGTTGAACTTTTCCCAAACTATAATGCCAGACTAAAATATGTGAAATCGAGTGCCACACTTTGAAATATGATAGACAACCTTTCATTGCATCTAAATGTTGTAGGATTAATCTGCATTTTAGCAACTGTAAATTAATTGGCCAAGGAATTATATTATTTAAGGAAAGAATGGTTTATTCTTATTATTTTCATGAATGTAACTATTCATTGAACTTTGTGTCCAAAACCCTGTTTTCTGTGGTAAAATCGCTGTAAGGCATATCATCTTGTGATGTTTGTTTACTGTCGTCTTTCTGGTTTACGTTTCACTTGGAAATGAAAAATCCCTTGGTTTTGGAAAGCATGTTGTGCACACTTACGCTGCAAAATGGCATCAAATAAAGCTGTTATAATATGATAGAGGACATGACAGAACTGGTTTATTTCATTAGATGCTGACATTTGCCATTTCTCATGCTCTTCTGTCTTTTTTCCCCCTTATTTTGTAGTGTTCGCTGTGACTATCTTGAATGATGGGAGAGCCTCCGTGTTACATAAACACATTTTGATGTGTTTCCCATTTAATTTGTTTAATCCTCTCAGTATACATGTCTGTATATCACATGTGTTTCCTTATAATTTGAATAAAATCCAACTCTTTATAGTGCAGAAAGTCATTTGGACTGCAAAAGTCATACATTTTGGCCTTTGCACTGATGAGGGTCTTAGGACCTACATTTTGGCATTGGCGATATGATTATTCTTGGAAGGAAGTGGCCCACAGGAGCTGTCATCTTCATCTAAGTTTATAGCAGTATAAATTTTATGTATTTCATAGTTATGTCCATATGATAGTAATAACTTCTGCTCTGGAATTCGGCTGTTTTTCTTTTCATGTAAATCCTTTCAAGTTAGTCACACTACTATATATATAAAATATAAAATAATAGACAGATTGATCCCTGAAGGGAAGTTAATTTCTCTTATCTAGATTGTAATCGCTCTTGTTTTCTCTCAAAGGTGACAGTAAGCCGACCAGTGAGGCGGTGACAGAGTACCTGGAGAGCAGGAAGAAGTATGAAGACATGAGGAAGCAGAAACTGAAGAAAGGTTCTGGCCGAGAGGCTCAGGTAAGTCGTAGCTTCAAGACACTACGATTTTCTTCAGCTCTTATAATGGTAAAGATTAGATTTGGAAAGTTCTGGCTTATTCCAGCTTGAAATAAATGACAAGTTTCTTCTTAAAGGAACAGTTTACCTAAGAATGAGAATGCTGCCATCATTTACGCAAGTTCCAAAACTTTTTGACTTTCTTTTTTCTGTGAAACACTTTTTCAAATATTGTGGCAACTTGTGTGCTTTATTGCAAGTTCAAAGTCTAAAGTCATACTTTGTGCGACAAACAGAGTGAAATTTTATTCGTCATTTATTGACAATGCAATACTAATACTAAATTACTTCAAATGCACAAAACATGAAGCACAAGACTTATTATTAGTTTATACTGAAACTGTAAATATAATGGTAGAAGACTGGAAAAAAGGTAAATTCTTCCAAGTGTCAAGAATTCAGACAGTCGACATGTTATAAATATTGCCATTAACACAAAGAAAAAAAGACGCAAACAGTAGGCGCGTTTCCATTGCCCTTCAAATTGCGCAAATTGAAATTACGAATTGAAAATACGCCTAATGGAAACGCGTCAATTTTGCAAAAACGCCCATATATCGCAAAAAAGTTTTTACGCTCTCATGAGGTGGTTTTTCAGGCAATGCGAAAAAGGATTAATTCGCAAAACTGCAATGGAAACTGCTTTTTCGCATTTACAGGTCACATGGCGTATGTAAAAAGTCATATGATCATTCTTCAATGTTCTATAACCTCCAAGAAACACTTCATAAGTGGCCGTGCTCCAGTATAAGGGGCTTTCCCTACTATTAATACTTAGACAATTTACACTGCACATGTCTGTGGTGCAGTGTGGCTCTGATACGGCCACTGAAGCGGATTACGGCCACTCAATGCTTGTGTTTATGTTTTTATACAGTCTATGGTTTATTCCAGCCGCGCCACACACGTTTCTGAAGTGGCTCTCTTTGCTGCTTCTGTAAAGATACACACATAAGCCTCCTTTGAATAAATATAGCCAAAATCCGTCAAATCCCACCAAAATCTGTTGCCATGACTTATCGCGAGAGGCAAAAGGTTACGTTTTAGCCGCATAACATTGGTTAATGGAAACGCCGTCATTTCGCAATACTTTTTTATCGACATTCAGAAAATATCGCCAAAGTTTTGCGCAAATCTGTAATGGAAACGCGCCTAGTGATAAATAATGTGTTTTTGTGTGTTTTTCTTCAAATAACATGAACTTTGGCTGTATGTAGTTCATTTTACATTTCCTTCACTTGTTTTCACTATTAAATACAAAAGTCTATCAATAAGAACAAGAAGTGCTATTTAAACCATTCCCTTTTCTAAAAGATTCCACCATACTGTGCAAATGTTGAGAGTTTTGCTTGTGGGCTATCATTCAGAATTTGCAAGTTATTTGTTCGTGCGGTCTACCACAGAGTCTGACCACAGGCTGTTAGTCAATTATCTGTTGTAAGGTCAATTGAATTATTCATAGCAAAGATTTGACTCGAGAATAAATCGAATGTCACTACTTGAAGATGCTTGAGGGCATGCCAAAATTATTTTCAGTGAATGACCGTCTGATTCAGCTGTTTTTGTCCATACAATGGACATCAGTGGAGTCCCAAACAACACTGGACCTTATTTACTTTTATTGTTTGGACACACTGAACATTTTTCAAAATATCTTCCATAGAACCCAATACAAAATGTAGTGCCTCACAGATTAATCATTTGAAGATTCAAAGTACAAAAGTTCAATATAAAGTAGATAAATATAAATCTTTCACACTACTCAAACTTATATCATCACAAAAAATATTTTTATTGAATAAATTACTATTGAATAGAAGAATGGAAGTCATACAGATTTGGAATGAAATGAGGGTGATGACTGGATTTTCTAGATGAACTGTCCCTTTGAATATGCACAGAGCTTTTTTTTTTTATTATTCAAAAACACCCGAAAGTCAAAATAACACGCTTTCTCTTGTCTCTAAAGACACTCGCCCTTTTGGATCGCTTCAAATCCAAACTATCATCTGCGATTTCGGAGACTCCTAGTGTTCCAGAGGAAGACGTCGAGGAACTTGGCGAGGATGACGATAAGGGCTGGTGAGTTGCTTTTTCTCGCTTCTCCATTCCTACAGAGGTTTAATGCACTAATGGACTTGCAGTTGTCTGTGATCAAATGCATTCTCAGTAACTCGCGCCTCATTGGTTGTCCCAATGCACAGCTACTGTTTCGCATTAAGGTAGCAGAGCTATTTATTTGGACTAACATAGCAAAACGTTCATACCTCTCCCCACATCAGGCACAGCTGCTTGCCTTAAGTGTGCCTGAGCCACCTCGCTCTCCAGCCAAGTAATGCGTTTGGCTCTGCAGCGCGCTGACACCATTAGAACAGTATGCAGTGTTTGTTTTTGCTGCGCTGCAATAGCCACTTGTGGAGAAGTAGTTTTCTCAGCTGACTTAACTGAGTAAATAACTGCTTCAGCAGACGAAGTGCCCAGATGGAACGTGTCTCACCCACCGAACGCCAGACAGGGCACGTCAACCTGCAGTCAGATGCGTGCTGTCTTTTTAACAGACGCTCATTACGGGTGCCAGCAGAACCAGCGCCCGGTGATAAACCATTGTTGGAATTTTCCATAACACCAGCATATGTTTTGGATATAAGCGTGCTGGTGTCCATAGCAGGCTTTTTAATCAGCATAACCAGTTAGCTGGTCAACTAGCTTCACTTTGAAGACCAGGTTTTGGATCTAGCTCGACCAACATCAAACCAGCACTATCCGCCTGCATCGCTACCGGTCGCCCGCGTCTCCTCAAATCACCAACTTTGACAGTCTATTCTGTCAGATATGTCCTAGTTTGACTTCTGCAGCCCTTTTAAATCCATAGGGAAGAGTGGGAAACATTGAAAACATTGTGCAATAGTTTTTACATGCAACTATATATTTAGAAAGATTCCATCACGTCCAGCTGCCTGTGGCATGATAGCTAAAATTAATTTTGTCATTACAAACTTTTCCAGGGCCCTACATATATATATATGACGTATGAATATATTAAGAGTCTAAATCATGTAATTTTTTGGCTATATCATATTTTTAGCCATGAATTATTAAAACATTTTTCCAAAATGGTGCCTGTGCCAGTGACTATGAAAAACATATATATAGCAAATAAAATGCAAATGCAAAAAAACTAAAAACTAATTCCAAATAATGTTCAGAAAAGTAGCCTTTAAGAATGGAATTGTTTATTGCTTTTTTTTTCTTATGTTCATATTTTTATTTGGATTATAAATAATTTACATTTTCCCGAGTGCTTCAACTTATCCTTTTACATGTTTACCCCTAACATAGGGCAAGTTGTACCACTTTTTATTGAAAAGTTATACTTTTGGATCAGTTATCAACACTTGCTTATAATTTCAGTTGATGGCAGGTCAGGTATTAGTAAAAAGTGTCACATCTTACCCCACTCTTCCCCTACGGATTGTTTGCACGATATCACTCACTACTAGACATTGTTTATGTCATGAGCTGTAACAACTGCCTCATCTGTCTGTATGTCACTGGAGACATTCCAATCCAACAGCATACTACGAGATTATGAAGACAGAAAAGAAATAATTACCATGTCACAGCGGTGCTAGATCACTAAATCACACACACCACTCACTGAGCAAATATTAAGTCTGTTCGGTTTTATTTTTGCTCTCTGTTAAATATGAAGACTAAACACAGCTTAGATTTTCTTTTTGGCATCCTTTAGATTATTATTATTTTTTTTTTTCAGTCCTGATCTGATGGGACCGTTTCCATGTCGGGCCGAGGGTGTTATTGACAGCTAAGTTCTTTGGCCAGGATAACATTTATGATGCTGCAAAATGAATCAGGCTCCAGGGAGCATCAATCTTAATGCTGTATGCGAGGCACAAAGTTATGGCCCTGATTGTGCGCTTAAGTACACAAATAGAATATCAATTAGAAATGTTTCGGTTAGATTCTGTTTTCTCCATAATCTTCCTAGCACATGTGATGAAGATGCATGCGTTTGTAAGTATGGCCTCTGAGATGGCGGTAGGTACTTAAAAACTGATTTTGCTCATCCACATTTATGGCTTTCAGTTTGAAAGATGTGTTTTTCTATTTAATGAACGCTCAACTTGATTGGACATTACTGTGATTCATAGATACGCTTTATATCTAAAGCCCTGCCATGACCAATGCGTCACACGGCACTTCTAGTTTTTCCGAGGATTACGGGAAGCAGACTGGTAAATCATTCTGTTTTTTCGGTCTCGGTTAAAATGTATAGCCTCAGCGGTTTGCTTTTTTGGGTCCCGCACTAACGTATACCCTATCCATTGAACCGGTTCATTGAAAACCTAGGGTAGCTTTCCGTTGGAAGCGTTTGAAGTGACTCTGCGGGTTGGATGCTGCACGTTTACGCTTAACCGTTTGGTAGACGTCCGCTGCAGTCGATTCGCACTTTCGCAGGAAAACCATAAATCACAATCAAACGTTAAGAATGTGGTCGGGTGCATGCATCTGCGGAGAGTAATGTCTTTACGCTTGATTAATTATCAGTCTTAATGGTGTGCGAGTCCGTGCGGCAGCCACAGCGGTGACGTGCTGAGGATAAAGCGAAGATCTGTCAGACCATCGTCCTCCCTCTTCACGCCGCAAGCCACCGCAGGGAAATGAATGGACATGGTGTGTTTTTCTCTCGTATTCGCTTTTCATCAAAGACCTTGAGTCTTTATCTAAATATATGCACTCAGATGCTCCAACAAATACCACATGTGAGCGCAAAAGGTGGGGGCGCCGTCTGAGCCCGTGTTTCCTATCAGTTACTTCGTCTTCAAGATGGACTGTAATTGCTGACTAAGGACCCCCACGACGCTGGGACGTTTTAGGTCTGACTCCAGAGAGGAGGAGGGACAGGAGGCCCCCAGTGCTAGAAAAACAGCAGTGGGAAGTCTGTACCACTTTCTGAACGCCTGTTGCACCCCACGAACGGAACATGGGTTACAACAGGTCAGACACTGGAAGTCAAGTCTGGGCCAGATTGTAAACTATTCCATCTGTGTCTGCGTCTACAAAAACCCCTTTTCGCCCAGGAGCCCAGGCCTCCGCTCCTGCTTCCCCCTCTTTCGCAAAAGCGAAAGAAAAATAAATTCAGGAAGAGGCTTCCGAGGGCCTCTGCATCATGGCGGGAGCCCCTCCCTGATAAGAGCCCCAATCAAACGGTGGGATTTTTGCGCGAGCCGTAACTCTAGGCGAGGAGTCCGACGGGCTGTCATCACCGAGACTGCTAGACAAATTATCAGAGCTGCTTTACGCGACGGGAGTCCTGCGGGTCTGCCAGAGTATAGCCATGACATTCTAGATGAGCTGTCACATCTCCTACGGACTTCAAATGGATGCAAGTACACACACACACACACACACACACACACACTCGGCCGAACACTTAAAAATGGGCTCGCACGCACTCACAGACTCTTTATCCGTCTCTTTGGCTGAATCCCGGGGTTCTGCGATGGCTCAAAAATAGCAGCGTGGTGGATTACTTACCAACGAGAGCGCTCATAATTTTAGACAGCAGGCCGCTTCCATTCTTCGGTTCCTTCATGCATTCGTCTTGACTCGGACAACCGGCTCGATTTAAAAATCTTCCTTCAGCTCCTACAGTTACTTCCTGACACACTTCTGCGAAACCACCAAAACTCGCACCGTATTGAATGGCAGCTGGGAGTCGTTGAATTATTGAAACGTCCCGTCACGTCTTGTTCTTTCAAACCAGCCCTGGGCTTTGGAGGCGAGTGTGTTTACTATGATACCCGCACCGCAGATTTGGATTTGTGAAGGATAGAGTCTTTCCAGAAATTCTGACCTTCACCAGAATAGCTCAAACAGGTGTGGAATATCAGTTCTTTAAGCATCTTTCTTTGGTTTAGATGAGACCCCAGAGAGCCATCTGGCCGTGTCCGTGATGTATAACAACGACCTGTTTCACCCTTCCTGACGTTTCTTTGAGGTTCTCTCCATGTCTTGATTCAGTCAGTTCCTCTGTAGCCATCATCTCAGTATGAAATGTAGGTCAACAGAGCAGAGGTGAGATGTGTGGATATGCACCTCATCCTAGGCTTACTCCAAAAACAACACCCTAAATATGGCCTCGAACAGAAAGAAAATCCATTCGTCATTTACTCGTTCCAAACTTGTATGAATGACTTGCTTCTGTAGAACACAAAAGAAGATATTTTGAAGAACACATATGGCGAAAGTTAATGGGGAGCAAAGCAATATTGGACCCCATTAACTGTGATTTGTAAACATGGATGGGTTTGGAACAACATTAGAGTAATTTCTCTTTAAAGGGGTCATATGATGCTATTTTAAAGATCATTATTTTGAGTATTTGGTGTAACAGAATATGTTGACGTGCTTTAATGTTAAAAAAACATTATTTTTCAAATACTGTACATTATTGTAGGTCCTCTATGCCCCGCCTCTCTCAAACACGTCGTTTTCTACAAAGCCCCTCCTTCCGACAAGCACAGTCTGCTCTGATTGACCAGCTGACCCAGTGCATTGTGATTGTCCGAACACCACAAGCACGCGTCGGAAATGTAACGCCCCTTTCCATAATCGCGAGCTTCAGCTTTCAACATAAATGTAAAGACAGTACATAATGTCCTTAGTTTTACCATCAGTTCAAGCCCGAAAGGGGAACAGAGTCGCGTGACAGACATGATGCTCGTATGAAGTCAGAAAGCTGACTCCACTGTGATGTGACCCTGTCTCTCTCTCACGCACACACGACGCGATACTCTACACGGCGCAAAACTCCGCATTTGAACAGTCAATAGCAAATACTTAAACTATTAAGAAAACATACTCACAGTAGCTGATTCAGAATAAGCGCCAGATTATCATAGCAAAGTCGGAATTGACCCATTGACCCAGCCAGCCTTGTAGGCTACTCTCCTAGGTTCACAAAACTGTCATCCATAAAATGCGTTGCACAAATTCGAACATCTGGGTTGTGCTGTTCTGTTGTAAATAAATCTTAACCAATGATTCCTAATTGCATCTACT